GAATTAGAGACTCTATAGCTGTGATTGGAGGGCACACACAGAATTAGAGACTCTATAGCTGTGATTGGAGGGCACACACAGAATTAGAGACTCTATAGCTGTGATTGGAGGGCACACACAGAATTAGAGACTCTATAGCTGTGATTGGAGGGCACACACAGAATTAGAGACTCTATAGCTGTGATTGGAGGGCACACATAGAATTAGAGACTCTATAGCTGTGATTGGAGGGCACACACAGAATTAGAGACTCTATAGCTGTGATTGGAGGGCACACACAGAATTAGAGACTCTATAGCTGTGATTGGAGGGCACACACAGAATTAGAGACTCTATAGCTGTGATTGGAGGGCACACACAGAATTAGAGCTGTGATTGGACACACAGAATTAGAGACTCTATAGCTGTGATTGGAGGGCACACACAGAATTAGAGACTCTATAGCTGTGATTGGAGGGCACACACAGAATTAGAGACTCTATAGCTGTGATTGGAGGGCACACACAGAATTAGAGACTCTATAGCTGTGATTGGAGGGCACACACAGAATTAGAGACTCTATAGCTGTGATTGGAGGGCACACACAGAATTAGAGACTCTATAGCTGTGATTGGAGGGCACACACAGAATTAGAGACTCTATAGCTGTGATTGGAGGGCACACATAGAATTAGAGACTCTATAGCTGTGATTGGAGGGCACACACAGAATTAGAGACTCTATAGCTGTGATTGGAGGGCACACACAGAATTAGAGACTCTATAGCTGTGATTGGAGGGCACACACAGAATTAGAGACTCTATAGCTGTGATTGGAGGGCACACATAGAATTAGAGACTCTATAGCTGTGATTGGAGGGCACACACAGAATAAGAGACTCTATAGCTGTGATGGGAGGGCACACATAGAATTAGAGACTCAATAGCTGTGATATGAGGGTACACACATAATTAGAGACACTAAAACTGTGATTGGAGGACACACACAGAATTAGAGACTCTATAGCTGTGATTGGAGGGCACACACAGAATTAGAGACTCTATAGCTGTGATTGGAGGGCACACATAGAATTAGAGACTCTATAGCTGTGATTGGAGGGCACACACAGAATTAGAGACTCTATAGCTGTGATTGGAGGGCACACATAGAATTAGAGACTCTATAGCTGTGATTGGAGGGCACACACAGAATTGGAGACTCTATAGCTGTGATGGAAGGGCACACATAGAATTGGATACTATATAGCTGTGATGGGAGGATAGACACAGAATTAGAGACTCTATATTTTATATTAAAGTTCACTTGTAGAAATATTTGTTCCAATGTCCTTTGAAAGTGAAGGTCGCCATTTTGTTTAAAAAACAATATCATGCACTATATCATATACACGTTTTGAAAGAGTCAGTATTGCAGAGTTTCTACACGATTCGGAAGTTACTCCAGAAATTTATCGGCTACTTTTTCCTAGAGTAAGAAGCTACTAACAGATTATCTTTTGGTAACATTGTAGATTATTTAAAACTGTGGAGCAAACAGTCGATAAATTTATCGTACTGGGGCTATGTAGGTTCAAACAAGGAACTCCTAGAGGTTCGAAGCCGAGCTGGGACACGTTTCATTTATTTTTTACTCTACTTCATTTTTATTTACTTTTTATTTTGTTTTTCCTAGAGTCAGATATTTTACAATGAAACAGGTGAATACCACATCATTTACAAAAATCGCTTCCAAACCCAAAGGTTTGGTTTGTTTTACCACGACTGTTGTTCCATGTGATATCGGAACCCTCGGACAAAATTAGGATACTTTAGGGGAAAAATGTTGTTTGACACAACTGCATACTAGAATACTACTCACAATATACGAATATATGATCAATGAAGTAATAACGACAGTGGGGACAAGTGAATTGTCGAATTTTCTTTTCAACCTGTCAATTCATCAAAGACACAAATATTACTTAAATTACATCACTTACACGGAACATAAAACAAGGATATATATGTAAATTGAGAGCGGCGGTGTAAATTTAGGTATCTATATAATCCCTTCGACCGATTAACGCCTGTGTTGTTGTATAGAAGATAGTGGTTAAAATATTAAAGATGTTTTATGTCAATCTCGGTATGTATATATGATATATTCATACAATTGTTCCAAAATTAAATTAATTGATTGTCAACCACTTTCTTCCTTAGAGTGTACAAAGTTTCTGTTTGATTTCAGCCAGGATAGCGCACCAGTTATATAAATATATACGAACAGAATTTTCACATTTAAGTGAACCATTCAACTATTTTAATTCTCAATCTTCACTTTATATGTATACGTAAATATATATACGTTATTGATCATACACAACTTAATGAAAATCAGCAGAGTGCAGAAAGATCACGTGACAAAGATCATTTAGTAACTGGCGATGTATTAATAAATACTCTGAGTTATTACTTTTATGTATGATATCGACGTTTATTTTAAAATATTTTGTGACCACAATAAGCGTTTCTTACTCAACTTATTTCCAAATTTATGATAAGAAGGTTTTAACTTAACATTATGATGCTAACAGTAAGAATCTTTGAATTTTATAACAATAAGGACTGCAGTTAACCAGTAGAACGTGTACGGGTAATTACACGCGGTTTTATCGTCTTTCTTAAAAGTCAAGTTTTCAACTTCTGGGAGACGAATTGGTCATAATCTACCTGTATATTTTCCTATTTAGTATCACTTTAATGTTTGATCACTTTACAAGAAGTATGCGATCGACTGAGAGGAGGTATTTGTTAGTTATCTGATGCTCCAGTCCATAACTAACGGGTACAGAATAACCCCTGTGTTTTACTGCAGGCGGCCAGACACAAGAAATCCCACCGTTTTACAAGGTGGACATTACGAAAGATAAACTGTATGGTACACATTCAGTATTCCTTATCTGACGGGGTATTGCTGCAAATTTTATAAGATTCCTCCTGATATGTATCATATATGAAATGGTATATTGGTATTCGGAGGATATCCTGGTCGATCATGGAGACCTCGCTGTGGGTCTTCACTAATGGTTTTCCCAGTATCAGACCTCGGAGTTACGTAGAAGCGAGGTTCTCCAAGAACGAGTCTAATTGGCGACTTAGCTTATGGTGATAAACACCACATTTTCCCACGAAAATGAACACGTAGCACACGGTAGAAAAACCAGACTTTTATTTTTATTAACTAGAGATTAATTCTAAATCGCTACTTTTGTTTAAGTCTATATATATAATTGGTGAATTTGGATCTATATTCCTATAGTGGATACATTATCCATTGAAATTTGAGACATTGTCGGACAAATGTTAAGATGAAATATCACACTGTCAATCAATACACAAATCAGCTGACGAAACAGGATGACGACAATTAACACACTACATGAATGTTAAGTGGACATATCAAAATTTCCAGGGTGCAAAAAGAAGATGGAATTTCCTGAACTGATGTCGTCTCTAAGATTAACGCCTGGATGCCTGGTCAAAGTCTGAGTGCGTGTCGGTTAAACCCCAAGTTATCCCGTATCTCACAAAAATAGATGACGAAATCAACTTTTACTTAAGATATATAAAACAAACGGCAAACTCTTTTCTTTGTCAGTATATCAAAATCTATTATCTAATGATCCAACGAGTCAATGTGTGTATCATCTTTTCATCTAAGCCTTGTTTATTTGTTTAAGGATGCTTTCACTTGAACCTTTGCACAATGAACCCTTGCTAATAATTTGAAATGCAAAAATAGAAAATCTGGAGGAAAGTTTTCAGGGCTGAAACTTACCATCCAATATATCTTACACATTTGAGAAATGCTTTTCGTTATCAATTTTAACACTAAAAGGAAAATTTCCATTGTTTTCTCTTCGCCATCAGTTATATCATTGATAGTGAAGTAAAGAGTTACATAAAGCGCACGGCCTTTTGCACAAACATCAGTTTGATGTTGAAGTGGAAATCTAGGTGATTTTTTCGCCCAGGTTTTTAAGTTTTGCATTTTATGAATGTGTAAAAATATTTAACAGTGTTCAATGAAGTGATATCATTACTGGGTATAGTTATTAAAATTTCATTTAAAAGTGTCATTAAGAATTGCCGGCACAACGAAACGTATATCATAGAAGGACAATCGACGTTAACGAGAAAGAGATGTGAAAACATAATGATATACATGATCGTTTTTTTTTTTTATCTCTGAGTAAGCATTACTAAGGACAGTGTCAGGACGCATGTGTCGATAAATACCATTCCGTTTCTTGAATTATAAACTTAAAAAGTATCGTAAGTTAAAACCGATCACGCAAATCGTGTTCATACTATTGCCTGAAAAGAACACAATGCAAGGAAATGTTGGTTGTGTTGTACCATAAGAATACGAGATAATCAGTGCTCGTAGTCTCTCTGTGAATCTAAAGTTCACCGCCAGACATTAAATTTAGATGTCAACACGTTGCATAATGTGACACGTTGATTATTGAACAGGAAACATTTACATCTGATAGAAACGAGGCACAAATGTAGACGAGTAATATATCTTAAGCTGACAAATCTATATTTTGGTGTAATTGGTAAACAACCACAAGCGATACGGTCGATTAAAATTTGTCTGCCAGACTAACAGTTATAAAAACGTATACACAAATGTAACAAACAAGACAAAACATTAATTAGACAAGTGTTTTGAAGAACTTTGATGCCCAACACCTGAAACATTTCACATCCCTTATATCTATTTAGTAATTAGGCTTGCTGTAAGAAGTCTACTTTTTCTTCTTGTTAGAGATTCCCTGTGTTAACCTTATACCCTATGAAGGTTCGATATAATGTGTTCAGTAAATAGGTGACGATGTAGTGTGAGAGTTTCCTGGCCGGCACACTTGCCACGGAGTTTTAGCGAGTTGTTCATATAAAACGTCCTGCGCCCTGCTCCCAGCATCACACCGTCATAAAGCGGTGTCGGAGGCGGTACAATACGTTTAGCAGCTGCCTGCACATTGTCGCTATGGCAGGGCTAAATTTTGGTGTTTTACGGTGGGTGATCATAATGACATGTATATGGAGCTCAGCATCAAAACCAAGCAGTTTTGCAAATGAGAAACCACAAAGCGATGCGGTTACTGCTAGCTGGTTTAGAATGTTTAATGCCAAATTTCGACTTTTGGAAAGAAAAATAGATTTGGATTTTAAAATCTTAGGTCAAACTCTAAGAGAAGAGCTTAAAGGCAGGCCAGGTGGCGGGGGTGGACCACGTTTGCCGAACAATGACGGATTGGAAGAGGCTATTTCTCAACTCAAATTTGAAATTCAAACACTACAAATTGATATGAAGCAAATGGCATCAAATCAGTTGCGGTTTGAAGCAAATTTCTTGTCTTCTTTGGAGAATAGCACTGTAACACTGCAGAACAAGTTTAGTGATGTTTCCGAAGTGTTGGAGGCAGTATCGAACAATGTTGAAAGTTTGAACAATTCTATCTCCATGTTATCTGATACCATGAACAACCTTGCTGAAAAAGACAGGGTGACCACACCAGCACCAACACCAAGTAAGTCCTCTCGCCAAATAATATCGTTACGTGATATTTGATTTTTGCTTTACAACACAGAGAGTTTTGACCTTTCAACCTTGAACCATTGACTACTCTAGGAATATCGTAGACTCTTGGAATAATATAGAACTATCGGATTTTATGTTCTATAAATAATAATATAAATAATACATGTATATTGGCCACTGTTTAATAACTTGTGAAGATTAATTTAATATGACACCAGTTCACATTCATTGACATGTTAACTTATACACTGATACGCAAGAAGATTACAAAGCGATGTGGTATCGATAAATCAGTGTTCTGTGGTAACAAATATATATATGTCAGCTTAAAATCTGTGTTTATTGATACCTATTACTGTATCAATGTGTCTCGGGTGTATATTGATACCTATTACTGTATCAATGTGTCTCGGGTGTGTATTGAGACCTATTACTGTATCAATGTGTCTCGGGTGTGTATTGAGACCTATTACTGTCTCAATGTGTCTCGGGTGTGTATTGGTACCTATTACTGTATCAATGTGTCTCGGGTGTGTATTAGTACCTATTACTGTATCAATGTGTCTCGGGTGTGTATTGATATCTATTACTGTATCAATGTGTCTCGGGTGTGTATTGAGACCTATTACTGTATCAATGTGTCTCGGGTGTGTATTGATACCTATTACTGTATCAATGTGTCTCGGGTGTGTATTGAGACCTATTACTGTATCAATGTGTCTCGGGTGTGTATTGAGACCTATTACTGTATCAATGTGTCTCGGGTGTGTATTGATACCTATTACTGTATCAATGTGTCTCGGGTGTGTATTGAGACCTATTACTGTATCAATGTGTCTCGGGTGTGTATTGATACCTATTACTGTATCAATGTGTCTCGGGTGTGTATTGATACCTATTACTGTATCAATGTGTCTCGGGTGTGTATTGGTACCTATTACTGTATCAATGTGTCTCGGGTGTGTATTGATACCTATTACTGTATCAATGTGTCTCGGGTGTGTATTGAGACCTATTACTGTATCAATGTGTCTCGGGTGTGTATTGAGACCTATTACTGTATCAATGTGTCTCGGGTGTGTATTGATACCTATTACTGTATCAATGTGTCTCGGGTGTGTATTGAGACCTATTACTGTATCAATGTGTCTCGGGTGTGTATTGATACCTATTACTGTATCAATGTGTCTCGGGTGTGTATTGATACCTATTACTGTATCAATGTGTCTCGGGTGTGTATTGGTACCTATTACTGTATCAATGTGTCTCGGGTGTGTATTGGTACCTATTACTGTATCAATGTGTCTCGGGTGTGTATTGGTACCTATTACTGTATCAATGTGTCTCGGGTGTGTATTGGTACCTATTACTGTATCAATGTGTCTCGGGTGTGTATTGGTACCTATTACTGTATCAATGTGTCTCGGGTGTGTATTGGTACCTATTACTGTATCAATGTGTCTCGGGTGTGTATTGGTACCTATTACTGTATCAATGTGTCTCGGGTGTGTATTGGTACCTATTACTATATCAATGTGTCTCGGGTGTGTATTGATACCTATTACTGTATCAATGTGTCTCGGGTGTGTATTGATACCTATTACTGTATCAATGTGTCTCGGGTGTATATTGATATATAATACTTCTATCAATGTGTCTCGGTTGTGTATTGATACCTATTACTGTATCAATGTGTCTCGGGTGTGTATTGATATCTGTTACTGTATCAATGTATCTCTGGTGTGTATTGATACCTGTTACTGTATCAATGTATCTCTGGTGTGTATTGATACTTTGTATTGTATCAATGTGATTATCATTAACAAGAGATAAACATTTCTCCACCAGTGTCAGCGATAATCTTGTTATAAATGGGGCGGTTGATACTAACGGTAGGCACTGATTATTACCCATAATTCATTAGGTACTTTGATAACGAGATAATTTTTGTTGATACGACAGCTTGTAATGACACGAGATTAATTGTCACGACAAACTCATTAACTATTTGTTTTGTTTTATTTTTGGTTTTTATTATCGTTGCAATGTAAATAGAGAATGAAAAAGTGTTTGTCACAAGAACGATACATTTAGGACGTCCACGGAAATAGCTTCAGGGTGAAATCGAAACCTTGATAATAGCGACACGTGTTTAATTAATAATGTCGACGAGACGAAAGTTAAAATGTATCATGATCATAGCTAATTTGTGACAGAGTTTGCAAAATTATTTCAGTCTGCGTCGAAATGTGGACCAGCTTGAGGCTGATTTAAAACCAGTAGCCGTTTGAGAATATCTCACATCGTTCATGTAAATACCAATTGATAATCAAACAATTACATTTATGTGGTACCTGAACCACTAAATATTAATGTGTTGTATGTGATGGTGATATATATGGGGAACGCCGATCTCCATAATATGTCGATGTTACCCGATTTAATTACTCAGTTTTATTGTATGATAATTCGCTGAAACAGTAAAAGATAATATACTAAACTGTACAGTACTGTACAGTACTGTACTATACTGTATTGTACTGTACTATACTGTACTGTACTATACTATACTGTACTGTACTATACTGTACTGTACTGTACTATACTGTACTGTACTGTACTATACTGTACTGTACTATACTATACTGTACTGTACTATACTATACTAAACTGTACAGTACTGTACTGTACTATACTAAACTGTACTGTACTATACTATACTATACTAAACTGTACTGTACTATACTGTACTGTACTGTACTATACTATACTATACTAAACTGTACAGTACTGTACTGTACTGTACTATACTGTACTGTACTGTACTGTACTGTACTGTACTGTACTGTACTATACTATACTGTACTGTACTGTACTATACTATACTGTACAATACTGTACTGTACTATACTATACTGTACTGTACTGTACTGTACTATACTATACTATACTGTACTGTACTGTACTGCACTATACTATACTGTACTGTACTGTACTATACTATACTGTACAATACTGTACTGTACTATACTATACTATACTATACTATACTATACTATACTATACTATACTATACTATACTATACTATACTATACTATACTATACTATACTATACTATACTATACTATACTATACTATACTGTACTGTACTGTACTGTACTGTACTGTACTGTACTATACTATACTGTACTATACTATACTATACTGTACTGTACTATACAATGTAGATAGTAGATACACTGTAGATAGTAGATACACTGTAGATGGTAGATACACTGTAGATAGTAGATACACTGTAGATTGGTGATACACTGTAGATAGTAGCTACACTGTAGATAGTAGATACAATGTAGATAGTAGATACACTGTAGATAGTAGATACACTGTAGATGGTAGATACACTGTAGATAGTAGATACACTGTAGATTGGTGATACACTGTAGATAGTAGCTACACTGTAGATAGTAGATACAATGTAGATAGTAGATACACTGTAGATGGTAGATACACTGTAGATGGTAGATACACTGTAGATAGTAGATACACTGTAGATAGTAGATACAATGTAGATAGTAGATACAATGTAGATATTAGATACACTGTAGATAGTAGATACAATGTAGATAGTAGATACAATGTAGATAGTAGATACACTGTAGATAGTAGATACACTGTAGATAGCAGTTACACTGTAGATAGTAGGTACACTGTAGATAGTAGATAATTTGGTCAATTAAAACCCGATTTCATATTCGCATCTTAGAGTACAAATTCACTTTACTATGTTTAAGAACTAAGCTAAGATTTTTATATGGTTTGGCCTGTGTTAACAATTGTCTGTTACCCTAAAATCATTTCCACCTAAACAGTAATTGATAAAAATAACAACTGCATAATTATATAAGTTGATAAACGTTTGTTCCGAACAGATGGGCCACATTATTTCAAGGACTCACTGATTTACGTAATAGAAATACTGTAAGAAAGTCTCCGTCTCCTGGTGACTGCCAAATATACAGAAGTTTGACAGATAGACATCGTATTATAGCAAGTATGACTTAAAAGAAGTAGGAATATATCCACACTGAGACTCCTTCACTAAATGATCAGCTTTGGCGTGTCTGCCTACAGTTCTTACCAATCAAGCAGGTTGTACCCTGAACCTTGTTAGTTATGTTTCTGTGGGACGGTGTGTGAATTTAAGCCTAATTGAACTAATTAAAAATTATATGTTTGCAGCGTAGCTTCTAAACGTTACATGATAAAAATATATATTGATGTCTACAAAAACGCCTTTCTTGAACGAATTCCAATCTCGTGAGAACATGTCTACTTCAAACATTGTGGATTAATAACTTAAAACCCGACGTAATATCAAGGAAAATTGTACTTGTGTGTGTGGGCGATTCCCCAGTGGTAAAAGAAAGGTATCGGTAATATCTAACCTTGGCAATAAATAACGCCCCGGATTGGACTGTGTAAAGGCAGGTGTCCACTGCGCGATCACATGCCTTTCCATCGGTACTCCGGCTCCCTGAAGCAGACCCTCCCCACTCCCACCTCCTCCCCACTCCCATCCCCACTCCCACTCCCCCTCCCCTCCCCACTCCCACTCCCCCCTCCCCTCCCCACTCCCCCCTCCCATCCCCAATTCCTAGTCCTTTTCGAACCTTACAATACTTATGTTTCCCCTCCGATCCTATTTCTAGTGTTCTTGTCCACTTACTTCCGTTTACACACCACCAGTACTTTATTCACAAGGTATATACACAATGTAAATATAAATAAGACATTTCCAACAGACATGATGAAAAACTGCCACGTGATCTAGTGCGGAGCGGTACACCGCGGAAACAATTCCCAAAAGCTAGGTAAATTGTTGGCGGGTTTTCACTTGGGCTGAAGTAGATGACTTGATATGTCCGGTTGTGTGGCGTGGTAGGATTTACATACTATTTCGTTATCAGTACCAGACTAGACGTGTGTAA